TCCCACACGTGGAGCCCCCCAGCCCCACCACAGAGCCGCCCTCGCAGCCGCCCTTACCTCTGCACATACGCATCCAGAGAGCCTTGAACAGTCCTGGCCCGGTCCAGCCCAACCCGGAAGGATCCCAGCGAGCTCATTCGCTTCTGTTTGAGTCACCACCGGACTTTCTAGCCGACGCCCCAGGAGGGGGGCGATACTCTCTTCCAGTCACTATCGAACCTCTGCGACTGTGAGTGTGCAAATCAGTTTATCTCAGAACTCAGTGTTCTCTGCTTTATACATTTATAACAGATTGCTACTTTTTGCATCCCAAGAAGAAATGTTGCCTACTATTATGCCACTTATTATGTGAGCTGGGTAGATTACTTACAAATTGTAATCTGTTACCGATTCCAAATTACATGACAAAAAATTGTAGTTAGTAACATAATCCATTACATTACACATTTTAGGTAATATAATCAGACTACATTTAGATTACTTTTGAGCTTTCTCGTTAATCACATTGATTTAAATAGGATTATCTTGTACCATATTGATCAAAATGCAAAGATTAAGAAAATATATTCCATTCTTTGTTATTAGCAACATGGAGTGTATTAAACATTACATTACATCAAGGTTTCCCAAACTGGGGTTTGTGAAAGAACTGCAGTGTAGGGAGTTTAATAAAAAGCTAATAATGAATTAAATCCTAAAAATATTAAATTAAAATAAATATTTTTAAAATAAATCTAAATAAAACAAGTACTAAAAAAACGAAATATTTTATTGGTTTACCTGCATGTCATGTGACCATAACCAACATCAGAGAGCCACGAATATGCAAATGTGATACTTCATTATTAAAATATTTATTTGAAAGTCTCAGGGGTACTTCAAGTGAATATATTAGATGAAAGGATCAGATGACAAAAGTGTTTGTGAATTTATGGATTTTAATTTAATCATTTTTAAGTTATTTTAATGTGTTTGAAAGACAAAAGCCTTCCAAAGATATAGAAATACATGGTTAAATAACCTACTGAGTGGTAGGTTCTTCTTAAACCTGAAATGATTTTTATAAATCCAGTGGTCAAATGCCGTCTTCCACGGAACTGGAAGACTTTCTGAGTATATATAAGCAGTAAGCTCTTTTAGAAAGGAAAATTTAAAAGATGAAAGGGAGAATTAGGGAGAATCAATAAATTATGAATAATTTATTGCTATTGTGTAAATAATATGTAATCATGTAATCCAACTGTAGTCTGATGACGAGTATTTTAACTGGTCCTCTTGGTTTAGGGGTCACACTTGGCTCCTTCGCGGTCAAAAGTGACCGAAGCCTTGAAATGTTTTTTTTGTTTGTTTTTTCCAGGAAAATCAGTGTAATACTTTTTTGTTTAATAATATGTTTTGATTATTATTTAGAATTTTGAGGGGATTTTATGATACTATGCAATATTTATACAATTTTAATGAGCTATTTTATCCATTAGAATTAATATATTTTTATTTATTTAATTATTTATTATGTTTCAATAAATGCAATATTTCATGTTAAAACATTTAAAATCCATTTTTTGAAGTGAGAATTATGCCATCTGGTGGCATATAAAAAATAAAAACTTGTGTAATGTCATGTAAAGTCCTGTGTAGTTCCCTATATACATATATACAGAGGCCTTTGGATTCCCATTGTTTTTTTTAGACATAATTTCTTCATTTTTATTAGGTTTTACTTCTAGATATATATTTAGACACTCTAAAATACTACTTTTTGTCAAGGTTTAGATATTTTTGGTTAGATAAATATCAGGTTTCGCATTATGATTTCAATCAATCATTGAATATTCTCAAAATTTGCTCTGTTGTAGTCTTACCAGTTCATGTCTGTGTCTGTGTGTGCGTGTGCGCGTACGCGTGTGCGTCTATTTTGTACTCTTGATATTTTAGAGAGTCACCCCTTGATTGCTGTGCGCTTTTGTTCTGCACAGTGGCTGATTTGTAGTTTGTACCACTAAAAGATTCTCTGAGTTTTCGTATTTCCCATTCATTTCCTATGTCTGTGTGTGTGTGACTTTTTATTTTATTTTTTACCCTTTAACATATACAAATCATGTCCATGATTGTTTTTTTTTGGTGTGTGTTCACATAGCTAATGTGACAAAAGTGTCATCTCATTCCGATGAAGCCACGATTTTTTACATTTCGAAATATACATTTTTACTTGGAGGTTTTAATAGGTGTCACCTGTTGGACTGGACCAGTGTCCAACAGTGCGTGTGATTTGTTGTTTGAGATGCTAAAAACACATTTCCCTTCATCCACCCCAAAGCTTCGACGTTACAAAGATATTACAAAGCTCCACCTCCTCAGTACTGGACGAGCTGGAGACGGCAGGCAGAGTCTGGAGTCTATCTCTCCCTGCCCACCTGCCTCAGCCAAAGGGGCGCTCCGCTCCGCCCAGGTAGCCCTGGTGCCGCCCCGTTCCACACCAGCTGGCATGCATGTCCTAATGCTCTAATAACCTCACAGAGTCATGCTTGTTTTCACACCCAAGGATTATCTTGTACCATATTGATCAAAATGCAAAGATTAAGAAAATATATTCCATTCTTTGTTATTAGCAACATGGAGTGTATTAAACATTACATTACATCAGGGTTTCCCAAACTGGGGTTTGTGAAAGAACTGCAGTGTAGGGAGTTTAATAAAAAGCTAATAATGAATTAAATCCTAAAAATATTAAATTAAAATAAATATTTTTAAAATAAATCTAAATAAAACAAGTACTAAAAAAACGAAATATTTTATTGGTTTACCTGCATGTCATGTGACCATAACCAACATCAGAGAGCCACGAATATGCAAATGTGATACTTCATTATTAAAATATTTATTTTAAAGTCTCAGGGGTACTTCAAGTGAATATATTAGATGAAAGAGGATCAGATGACAAAAGTGTTTGTGAATTTATGGATTTTAATTTAATCATTTTTAAGTTATTTTAATGTGTTTGAAAGACAAAAGCCTTCCAAAGATATAGAAAATGCTTGTTTTCACACCCATACTCAAGATCTCCATGATCCTGCTCCAAATCACTGCGGTTACTGAGAACTAATGAATGGAGTTCAGTTCATCGCATTTGAAAGATATGATAATTGTAGGTAACCATGATTGAGGATTAACAGAATAACCGGTAATGAAGATTAAATTCAGAATCAAGTCTGGATGATGTCTGAAAATGTACATTTATACTAACATTTCACCCTAGGTAATGAGTGGCAGTGTCCAATGTCTAACGTTGAGTTTTTGACATGGATCTGACCTTCACATAAGGTTAAGAGTTTTGACATTTAGCCCAGAAACATACTTTATGCAAGTGCACAATCTCAGAAATGAATGCTTGGCCAACATCATGTTGCAAGTGCATACTTAACCTGCACTGTCGCAGTACTCAAGATAGGAGTTTTTTCTTCACGTCTGTGTATTAACATGGTATTGAGAAACTAATTAGGGGCCATTTAAATGTCATGGTCATTTTAACTAACTTGCTCAGAAAGATTCTCTTCAAACTGTTGCTCTGCCATGACAGTAGTTGGCCTGATAGAGAAAAAACTTCCATTGAAGTAGAATGTTTAAGGCCCGTTCGCACCAAAAACGATAACTAATGACAACTGTATACACCAGTAGACGTATATTATTTTCTGTTTACTATAAGCACACACTGCAGTTTTGTTGTTTACTTTAAATGTTGCTTTAAATGTTCTGGCTCTTTAAAGTCGGATGTATTCTGATTGGCTGTCAATGTTTTTATCATCCATCTGGCGAAAAAAAAAAAAAGTTGTTCTGAAAGTGATTCAGACGATATTATTGCTCTCTGCCGTTGTTATAGTTGTGATGTGGACTTCCCAATTATTAAAACTTTATAGTTATCATTGCATTTATCGTCCTCAGTGTGAACAGGTCCTACTCTTCCTGCTCTTGTGGCAGCATTCAAAATGTAACTCCTTTCTAGCTTATGTTCACGAACTTGCATAGAGTCTGTATGTTTTAGACCTTAATGTATTGAAACTCTTCATCTTTAGAATATTATCTGTAGAATCTGTTATCTTAGAATATTAAATCCCTCCCCATCCTTTACTAATCCCCGTTTGATTAATTCCATGGCATGCAAGTCAATGTTTAAGCATCCTAGCTTGGCACCTTCGTACAAACTAATTTGTTGTTGCCACATGTGCTTTAACCCTCGTTTCTATGTGAAGTTCATTTTGATTGTATTTTGTTTATTTTTACAGTGGATCCCTCCCAAGTCCCGATCCCAGTCAAGCGATCTCCTCCCATTCCCCCAAAGAGGATGACTCCTATGACCAAGCGCCACTCAGACGACTCTTCGGCCAATCACCCTGAGCCTCCGCCCCCAGGCCCCGCCTCC